CACTGTGTTGGCTTCACTCTCAGGCAGATTTGTCCCCTGAGGAGGGTAAAGACAGCAGCACTCTAGACTTATATCATACCTGCTTACAAACCCTCTTTTTCAATAAGTTTAGCAAAAGTTTTGAGGCACACTCTGTTGGACTGACATGGGTAAGTGCCCATTCCTGAAATAACATCTGTGTTTAGGGAGATGGAACTCCCTGGGTTGCGTATAAATACCCGAATTTATGGCATGACAGAGGGGAAGAGGCAGGTCCCCCAAAGGAAAATTGGGTGGCGGGCAGGGCAGGCACCAACAGCAGATGGCCTCTCCAGAGCTCCAGCCACCCTGGCCATTGTCCCTGGGTCCTGTCCTTCTTTGCTGGTGCCTTCCCCTCCCCCACTGATGACAACACCCTGTGCTCACACTGTGGAGCTGGTGTCCTGCCCACTTCCTCTCCGCCCTGCCAGGGTGGCACCAGGAGGGAGAACCTGACACCTCTGGTGACAGCCACAAAGACCAGCTTTCTCCCGGGAAGCTTCTCACCCACATCCTCTGCCTTTATCTTCACAGAAATTTTTTGCTGTTGATTTACTTGGAGACCCCAGAGAGGTAAGGACCTTTGGTTTCTTGATTAAAGGTTTTGAGTCTGAACATCTTTAAGCTCCAGTTGACTCTGAATGAAACAATTCTCCCTTGTGGAACCCCCATAATTCCTCATGTGTATGGTGCTGAGGCCCAGAGAGGGGCAGTGACTTGCCTGGGGTAACACAGCCAGGGGACCAGACGCAGGACTGGAACCCGATCCCCGGACTCACGGTCCAGTGCTCCCAGGCATCAAATATGAGACTCCCGGGCTCACCCACCCCCCTTCTTATTCACGTTTCCTCTGCCCAACACGGCCCTGAGGGAGGAGGCGGGACCGGAGCCTCCACTGGGAGGAGACAGAGGTCACAGGAGCCTTCCCTGAGGGGTACAGATCCCCTGGGAGGCCACAGGTTCATCTCTACAGGGGGAGCCTGGAACCTCGGGCCTGAGGACCCCCCTCCTCCCAGCACACAGGACACGCCAATAGTGTCCCCCCAACAGGTTGCCAGGGTCTGGTGACGTCCCCTGTGCAGCATCTTACAGTCCCACCCTTTCTGCTCCCCCTGGAGACAACAGCACTTTACAGGTCTCGGGAGGACGGAGTGAGAGTCCCGCAGCCATTCCGCTCAGGCTTCGTAAGCACTGCCCACAAGCCAGGCCCCGACTCGGGAGCTGGGGACGTGGCCGTGAAACACCCGAGATCCCACCCCTTGGAGTCTCTGTTCCAGTGGGGGGTGCAGTGAAGACCAAACCAACACGCATTGTGTGGACGACGGGCGTTGTTAAGGGATGGGGGTCACCAGTGGTCTGAACTCGCGTAGCAGCGTCAGGGAAGGGGAAGGAGAAGGTGGCATCTGAGCCAGGCTCCGGAGGAGGGGAGGCAGCTGTCAGGAAGACTGGAGGAGCCGTCCCGGCAGAGGGGCAGCTGCCGTGCTGGTCCTCACTGAGGCAGGAGGCTGGTCTGCAGGGCTGGAGAGGAAGGAGTCGGACAGACGGGCCGGAGGGTAAAGAGGTTGTGGGAGGGGGCAGGGGGAGGGGGGCGGTCACTTGAGGGACTGGGACTGTGATTTGGAGTGAGAGGGGAGGCTTCGGAGGATTTTGAACAGAGGAGAGACATAATCTTGGATTGTACGAAGGTCTCTGCTGCGTTGAAAATAGACTGTCAGGAAGGGGCCTGGAAGGTGCGGAGAGACCAGCTCGGAGGCCGCTGTGCTGGAATCTTCCAGGCCGGGGGTCCTGGCGGCTGAGACGAGGCCGCAGCAGTGGGATGGGGAGTGGCTGATAGGATGTGCTGACGGACAGCACATGAGGGGCGACAAAGACGGGAGTGAAGGATGCCCTGAGCTTCCTACCGGAGCAAGCTCGTACACGTGGCCCACACAGGGCCGCCATGTGCAGCCACTGAGTACACAGTGGCAATTACTGTCACTGTCACTGCTGCTGATGCCAGTCTTCTACCCATAGATGCCACCTCTTTGGGCCCTTGTTGTCTCCTCCTGCCCTTCTGCAATCTTCTACCTGCACTTTCCTCACCTGTGAATCCCTTTCATTGCCCAGAGCCCACGGCAGGTGGTGAGCTCCTCCCCCAGGTGGCCTGTCCTGTTCCAGGCCTCCCATGGCAGGGAACTGCAGGACCTCTCAGGGCGGCCGTAGTCACACCCGATCCTGTTCTCTATAATCAAACGTCCTGGTTTAGGCTTTGGGCCTTGTCCTGCTTGGTTGAGTTCTCGTTACAGACCCCACTTGTCGCCAGCCAGAACTGGCCGTCCCTCATTGGCTTGTGCGGAACAGACCCAGGCCCTGGAAACCTCAGTGTGTCAAAGGGATCAAACGAGCCGATGCTCTGTCTTCCTGTGTTTCCTCTCCTACGACCAAGCGTCCTGTCCACAGTCCGTGTAGTGCCGCAGTGTTTGCATTTTGCGCTTCGTGTTAGTTAGAGATCGCGCTGTTTCAAACGTCCCCGAGAGCAGTGCTGCAGCGCTGCCTGGTGTTCCTAAGCTCAGGGACGCTGTGACGCGTGTTACGGGGAAAATATACACGGCAGACGAGCTTGGTTGCGCAATGGACAGTAGCGCTGTGGCCGTGAGCTCAGAGTCGGGGAATGAACAGGACGGCACCCCTGGAACTAGGGGAGGAAGCTGCCCCCCCACACCTTAGGCCAGTGTGGACTGTGGGAGAATCTGCCGTGTGTGATGAGCTACAGCAAGGATGGAAAAGCAGCCACATTTGTGGACTCATGACACGATGAAGGATTTTGTAGAAAGCACAGTGGACGGCACTGCTGTGGGGTGAAAGCAAAAAATATTTCCAGTGATGTTACTCAGGGCCAGGAAAACGTGAGGGCCTTCCTGGGTGGTGTTTATTACAAGTAAATGCTCCGTAGAACAATTCTTTAAAGAAATATTTATTACATAAAATGGCTTTAAACAGAAACTGATGCATAAAATAAAGTTAATGAATATACCGTGAGCAGAGGCTCCCAGGACCTACCCTGCGTTCCCCCATCCAGCGGCGACTCAGCGTTCGCGCATCCGGCACTCAGCGCAGCTCTGTGTGACACCACCCGGCTGCCGTGAATGACCAGGGTCTCCTGCAGACAGACTTACAGAACACACGCATGCTTCAGACTGAAATATATAACACTGATACATATTATATAACACATGCGTTTTGATTTCAGTCAAGATTTGCCACTTTCCCACTGCCAGCCCCTGGTTGAAGTTCTGCCCTCTGGGGTCACACAGACTTCGCCCGCTTTGTTAGGAGCTTCTGGGGCCACTGCCTGGGGACACACGGGTCCATGTGCTGCCCTCACCCTCAGACAGGCAGAGCGGGCACGGGGGTGTTGCCTGGGGAGGGAGAGGCTCAGACACTGCCCCGCTCTCTTCCCCAGAGTCACCCCTTGATGCCCACGGTGGTGGATGGCGTGCTGCTGCCCAAAACCCCCGAAGAGATTCTGGCCGAGAAGAGTTTCAACACCGTCCCCTACATCGTCGGCATCAACAAGCAAGAGTTTGGCTGGATCCTCCCAACGGTGAGCACGTGCAGCCTCTTAGACTCTCCGCTCTCCCCGTCAGCCCTCCCAGCTCTGGTCACAGACGTCCGTCCTTCTCCAAGGCCCAATCTGAGTCCAGGACATCTGTCCCCTCCCTCACAAGTTGTCATTTCCATGGAAACCTTCTCTGGAATGGCCCAGCTGTGACCGGGGTGGCACGGCCCTGGGAACCCCTCTCCCAACACCCTTTGATCATCTTGCAATGAAAGAATCCTGCGGTGTCCGTGCTGGGAGAGCCTGTGGAGGTAACGGTTATGCAGGTGGAAACGGAGGAGCCTGGAATGGGGAGGGAGCTCGGGAGTTGAGGGAAGTCAGGCCTGGGCGGTGGCTTCTCACCTTGGGCCTGGTGTGCAGTTTCCCATGAATCTCCACACACGCTCTCAGTAGTCTCCCTGGAGAGATTCAGAGCCAGTTAGTTCTCCTTGAGTTAAGATTGAATCTAAAGGTGCAGAAAGACTTTCCTTCCTGTCCAACATAGACAAAGCCAACCCCAGTTAGAGCCGTAGGACAGATTTTATTCAGTAACACGATTGCAGTAGGGAGTTGTCCAGTGTGGACGGGCCCCGAATCCCTGAAACAAAGGCTGGGGCTGTCCTAAAGCCTGGCTGTGCTGAGGGAAATGCCTGTCGGGTGCAGAGTTGGGGTGGTTAGTCTGTGAGGCTCGACCACCTGGATGTGTGAGTCCCCCTCATCTGGAGGAGAAACAGGAGGCCGTGGTGTAGACTGAAGTGGGGCGGGAATCTTTGCACAGGACTGGGAGGGAGACCCAGGGTTGCCTCCCTGAAGGTTTGCACTTAATAGAGAGGCCTCTCAGGCCCTGGAGGAAGCAGTCTGGGTGGTAGATGTGCATCCCAAGGGCAGAGAAAGGCCTTGTACTTGCAGGCTGTCTAAAGTGACTGCTCTGGGAGGGGCTGAGGGGCCTCTGCCTGTCACCAGGTTTTGGCTGCAGCAGAGAGTAAGTTCTCCTGGCAGGTGGAGCTTTCTCAGGCAGGCGTTGTAAGGGGGCTGGGGCCATTGTCGGTTCATGAGCAAACACACACACACACACACACACACACACACACACACACACGCACACGCACACGCACGTACTCATGCTGCACAACCTTGCAGTTTCTGTTAAATTTCATTTTTTATCCTCTTTGCGATCCTTGAATTTCTAGATGTAAGTCCATTTGATTCATCGGTTTTCCCAATTCATAAAAGACCCATGGTTTTTAAGGCCCAACAAAATTAGAGGACCTTCAGACTGTGTTGGTGTGGTTGGTTGGTAGGTTGACTGTTGTTCATTCCCGATGATTTATAAATCCTTAACCATTTTTTTTTAATAGTTTATGGGCTATCCGCTTTCTGAAGGCCAACTGGACCAGAAGACGGCCACGTCACTCTTGTGGAAGTCCTACCCCACTGTCGTAAGAGTCTAGGAATCATGGGAATCGGCTGAGACCAAAGAGGGGCAGGGACTTGTCCCGAATCACAGATCAATTAAATTACAGAATGGAGACTGGGGCTTGAGGGTTCTGCCCTCATTTTTCTACCTTCCTCATTTCACCACCCGGAGGTTGGGGGGAGTTGCCCAGGGCTGGGGCGGTTCTCCATCAGTGCGAGCCTCGCTCACTGGCCAGAGAAGCTGCACTGCTCACCAGGGCTCATGGTCACCGTCTTGATCTATTTCAGGGCATCCCTGAGGAGCTGACTTCGGTGGCCATTGAGGAGTATTTAGGAGGAACAGAGGACCCTGTCAAAAAGAAAGACCTGTTCCTGGACTTGCTTGGAGATGTCATGTTTGGTGTCCCATCTGTGATTGTGGCCCGACGCCACAGAGGTGAGTCCCAGAGGTTGGACTGCAAAGGGACATCGGCCCCACCAGCTCCGGTATCTGACCTGCCCACCTCCCAGCATAGGCAGATGTGGACACTGACGAGGGTCAGGCCTCACAGGCAGGTTCCGTATGGCATGGGGTGTGGTGCTGTCCTATTTGGGTTTCTGCCTGCAGCAGACTCTGAGAAAATGATCCAGGCGCATGCAGTTTCTTTGTCAGGTAATGGTAGAAAACACCAGCAGGGAGGTGGAGAAGTGTCAGAGGGAAGAGATGGAAGACAATTCGTGACGCGTTGCCCAGCAAGTGTCCACTGTAGACAGCTGGAGCTGGGAGCTCTGGAAACAAGCAGAGGACACGGCTCAGGGTTGTCCCCTCTGAGCAGGGGGAGCTGGGGTATTCATCCACCAGTTCTCAGTTGTCATTGGTTGTTCCAAGGAGTTGTTAATTCCCTGGTATTTTGACGGACTGCACACAGGGGCCGAGTAGTCCCTGGAGGGCTGACAAAGGCCTCGGGCAAAGAGCTGGATGCTGGTGGTGGCCATCAAGCTGGCAGGCCCAGAAATAGGGCATGTGGGTGTTGTGGGCGAGGAACCAACAGCATCTGCTACAAGAGCTTCCTACCTGGGGTGAAGGTGGGATGTGGGGCTAGAGGACAAATACTGGAAGACGGGTCTCAGAAGTTTCTAAGGTGAGAACTGGCTGCAAACTACTTTGTTAATTAGTGGAGCTGGGGGAACAGTGGGAGACAAGCACCGGATCAAGATGGCTGTCCAGGACCAAGAAGGCCAAACGGAGGGTGCACTAGCAGGTGTGGGTAGTCTGGAGAATGTCAGTGTCTGCGGCCATGGGCTTTTGTCCATCCCGTGTGTGCTGCAATGGACAAGCAGAGGGCCAGGGTGGGGTCCATCCTGGAACCTTCTGACACCGACCAAGGCTGTGTGGGTGTGGTGTGAGGTAAGGATGCACAAAAGCTCACCTAGAGAGGGGTCCTCTTCTGGGTGCCATTTGGGAATCCGCCCAGACCTGCCTTTTCCTACCAGCTCTCCTTTGCTAGTGTGCAAGCCAGCGAAGGGTTCTGTGGTCCAGACCACTCTCTTTTCACCAGGCTGGAAGCGTTTTAAAATTCAGGACGTTATAAGCTTGCTAAAACCTAGCTACAGCTGCCCTAGTACGTGCCCAGGCCCAGCTCCGTACAGGAAGGGGCAGGTGCTCGTCTCCACTTCCCCCTCCCGAGGGCCCTGGGGGGCCGACTGGGATCAGTCTGTTCTTTAATGAACCTAGTTTGGCCTCTTGCCGTGTGTCTGATCTGTGGAGTTCTCTTCTACATCTTCTGCTGGCTCTGGCTACACTGGGCTTGTGTTTTTGATCTGATATTTCATGTCTTTGAGTTGCTGGGTCTTTTTGCCAGGAGTATACAGATTTTATCAACTTTCATTTTTCTGTATTTGTCTCACCCTTTTTGAGAAAAATAACTTCTGCATATGAAGTTGATGTTTCCCTTGTAGAAAGTTTAGACGATATGGAAACGCACAAAGAAGAAATTAGATAACTATCCTAATCCCTCCACCTGCAGGTGTGTACTGTAATATTTTCGGTATTTTCTTCTAAGAATTTTTTCATCTCGTATTATATAAAAATTAATTTTCT